ATGGACCAGAAAAGCTAAGGCCAAAACTGAACTCAGGCTGGCTACAGGAATCAAGGATGATAAAAAGTCCTTTTTTAGATAGATAGGAAGTAGTAAGAAAAATAAGGGCAACACTGGGCTCCTGCTAAATCAAATGGGGCAGCTGACAAATGATTCCCAGGATTCCCACCATACCTATAGGCTCAGCAGTGCGTCGCTCACTAGCACTATGTCCAAAGAAGACTTGGGGGTCATGACTGACCACAAGATGAACACGAGCCACCAATGCAATGCTGTAGCTGGCAAAGCAAATAATACCCTGGCTTGCATCTACCAATGCATCTCAAATAAGACCCAAGATGTCATTCTCCTGCTTTACTTGGCCTTGGTGAGGCCACGGCTGGAGTACTGCATTCAAGTCCACACTTCAAAAAGGATGTGGAGAAGCTCGAGAAAGTCCAGAGGAGAGCTACACGCATGATCAGAGGTCAGGAGAGCAGGCCTTATGAGGAGAGGCTGAGAGACGGGGACAAGCTTGGAAAAGCGCAGGCTCAGAGGGGACTTGGTGACATCCTATAAGTACATCAGAGGTTTACATCAGGACCTGGGAGAACATCTGTTCGCCAGGGCTCCCCTAGGGTAGACAAGGTCTAACAGTCACAAACTGCTGGAAGACCGTTTTAGACTGGATAAACAGAAAAACTTCTTTACTGTCTGAGTGTCCAGAGTCTGGAACAGACTCCCCTCAGAAGTGGTGCAAGCACCTACTTTGGACACGTTCAAGTTGCGTTTGGATGCTTATCTTGCTGGGGTCATCTGACTTCCTGGCCCTTGGACGGGGGGGCTGGACCCAATGATCTCGTGAGGTCCCTTCAGCCCTAATGTCTATGAAATTTATGGAAGAGGCTCTCTCCTTGGCTTCTTACTAGGAAGGTAATGAGTGTGTGGGTGCCGTGCAGAACCTGGGAGCAATAAAACTTTAAAAACAAGATAGATTAGGAGTGTTTTTCTCAGGGGACATGCTGCATCCCACCCTAATATTGATTAACAATTAATCTTTATAATAGGTATCAAGCAAAGGTTTATGGTATTTGCATGCCAGCAGTGAGTGATAACATCTAATTGGTACAGACTGGTTTCATGCATTGGTTTGGCTTGAACCACTTGGCTGTCCTTCTCTGACACTTGATGTTACCTGTGGTTTTAGCTGAAAGGAACAGGAGAGCTGCCAGCCACTCCATGCTGGTGGCTCATAACATTGGACAGTGTCAGTGCGGTAAAGCAAAAATATTATTCCTATGCAGTGTAAATCAAATCCAGATTGAAAGCAGAACCATGGGGGTGGTGTTATTAAAGACCTACTAAATGTAACTGCATTACACTGGGCAGGGGCTGCACGGGCCCTGCACTGACTCTCAGCTCCAGCCCCAATCTGGTCCCTGCAGCCATATCCTGGTTGTGTGCCATACCTACTGCCACACACTGCCCCAGCACACGGGCATGCTCCCAGGTGCCCCCCCATCTCAGATTTACCAAAAATAATTATGATCATCCTACTTAGCACCACTGAGGTTCCCAATCAGTCTTTAGAGCAGAGCTGAAATAGCACAGCAGAAATACTACAGCTGCATTAATGTCGTGCTCCACATGGGCAAGTGAATTTGCTTGGAGTATATCAGCTAGGGCAGAGCATCGTGCTATACTGCTCCTGGCATCCAGACAAGCTCAGGTACCTCTGCGTGGGCACCACATGGTGCTGTAGATCTGTCTACGTGACAACAACACCTGTAATCACACTCAGAGGCTTGAGGTGCGCTCCATCAGGAGCTTGTTAACCAGGTCTGCATGACACTTCAGGCAGGTTACTTGGCTCCTAGACTTAAAATAGATATTTGTATTTGCTTTACTCTAACAAGCTATAAAATGATAGCAAATCTATAATCCCTTCCAGTATCTGTGGTTGTGACTTTCTTTTATGAAGCAAATAAAATGAGATTAGTCAGATCTGTTGCCTTCTAGGTATGCACCTTGGAGCTACGCTAACTTTGGTCATATTGGCTCTTCAGTAGGGCATGATCCTGCCAGACAGTGAAGAACAGCGGAGTGATGCTGAGTGTCCTTATTTCCTGATGGCTTCAGTGGGAGCATAGGGTGTTTGGAAGCATGCATTTGCAAAGATGTGCCGGAGTAATAACATTAATCAAGAGTGACGTTGAGTAAGACGCAGGGGCGACTAATCAGAGACTAGCGTCGCTGATGTTGGCATAACTGGAAGCCTGGGGACATAGTCCAAGGATAAAAAAATAAATTCTTATCTAACTAAGGAGTCATTTACCCAGAACTGGTTACAACATATTCTTAAAGACAGAAAAAAACAAAGCAAGGAAATCTCTTGCACATGAACTTATTTTCTATGCCATTAAATGATGATAACGTAAAGCTGAACTTATCTTACATTAAAACTCTGTGCATTAAAATCCCATTTCGAGTTAGCACTTTGCAAAGTCTGCCATACATTCCTCATGTACACGGACAGATTTAATCTGGCTTGCTGCCTGCCAAGATGTCGTTTGTCGATAAGGTTGAAGAATGTATCTGAGGTCTTTCAGAAACCCGCTTTTGGCATCTTCCTTGTTAGCTGGAGTTTGTTAAGCTACCTGGAGCTACACTGCTCATGGGTCCACTCAGAATTCAGGCCACTTGGCATAGTACATTTGGCAAGCTTCTTATTGCGCCCAACAGCCATCTTTTTTGGAAACACAGCTCCCGACTTTGACAACCTATTGAATTCGAAGAGTCTTGAGGACTGGATCCCACAGAAGAACTGAACCGGTGCAGGAAAGATGCACCAAAACACAGGCAGCATCATTGGAGAGAGAACTGTAATATAAAGGATGTGTCCTGGATGTTGATAACTCTGGCCTTAAAGACATACTGTTTTCGTCATAAGCATTAGTGCATGGGAGTGTTTCATTTCCTGCCTTTTTTGTCACACTTCCTCAGTCCTAACCTATGCAAACACTTGATGCTATATCAGGGGTGGGCAAAATGCGGCCCATGGGCTGGATGCAGCCCGCCAGGCCATTCTATCTGGCTCGCGGGGCCCATAAAACATTTAGAAAATTAATATTTATCTGCCCTGGGCTGCCTGTCATGTGGCCCTCGATGGCTTGCCAAAACTCAGTAAGCGGCCCTCCGCCCAAAATAATTGCCCGCCCCTGTGCTATATCCACAATGCAGAGAAACTCCTGAAATCGAAAGTTGAATGAACTCTTGCCTTAAAATACAGATTCTTTCTAAGGACAAGCACCTCACTTGGGGTGGCAACAAACTTTCCATGGGCAAAGCCAAAAACAACATCCAAAGACTGGGTAGGGAACTGGCAGGCCTTTTCCGAGCATTTTCAGATTCATCACTTGACTTCCGTGCAAGCTGTTATAAGGCTTTAGGTTATAACCTTATGAATTCTGCAAGAATGAGCTCATTACTGTGCTGGGAGAGGAGCCCAGGTGCTGGACGCCGGGGCCGTGGTGAGTCAGGAGATGTAACCTCCTTCTGTGGGTCAGTATTGAACCGTGCATCAAAGGCACTCTCAGGCACTATGGTGATGGTGGAAAATGAAACTCAAACCATAGCTTCTTCTTTCTGTCTTGCTTCTGTCTCTCTCAGCTGTCCCTAGGGGATTTTATTAGCTGACCTATATGAAATGTGAAGGCCACATCTATGCTATCTCCCTGTCTTGCCTGGGACTGCTGGTCAGCAACAGGCCCTGCCCATCCCCAATTCACCTGTGCCAAAACCTTGCATGTAGGCAGCATAGACAGCTCTGAGGGGTCCTCAAAGTGAGCCCAACAGTAGCTCTCGCTCACATGGACCTATCCTGTCTCATTGCCGGGCCTGAGCATGCCTAGACGAGACTTGTGATACCAACCCCAGCATCCTGCCTATCTTAAATGGCCTCTGTCTTTGTAGTTGGGAACGGGACTTCTCTTGGATCCTGACTGAATCGGGGTGGCAGCATTTCGGTGATGGGAGCAGGCAACGGGGCGTAGTTTCAGTGAGAGTGTTTTGGAGGCAGTGAAGACCAACCCTCCTCCTCCCCCTGGACACACATCACCCTTAAAAGCTCTATACCTGCTAGTATTCACCTACCCACATTAGGCACTCAAAACGTTGCCTGTTGGATCCAGGTCATAGCCTGGATATATGAAGATATGAATATTTAAATGTTGTATCTAAAGTGGAATGGTATTAACATAATCCAACTTGCGATGTCCTCCAGGAGTGTCCTAGGAGGGAGGAGTTTTGTGCTAAATCTCTGCTCCATATCAAGCAAAGGAAAAATTTGGCCTTGGGACGTCCACACTGAAGGCGAATGCCCTGACCGTTGGGTTCCTCTTTGCACGAGGCCTGATACAACGGGCTTGCGCTGGGAAAGCCAAGAGCCTCGTGTCCCATGGGTGAGAGGGGTAGAAATGACTACTCCCAGGGCTTAGGTATCAGCCTGCTCAGTGGGATCAGGATTTGGGAGATCATGAGCTTGTCCGGAAGCAGAAATATAGGTCCCTAGGTGACTATATTGTAGAAACATTAGACATCAAGGTGCCTCCAGGGTTATTTGACAAGAGCGCAGGAGGTTGGAAATCTATATTTCAGACCTTTTAAATGAAAGTTGAGGAATCTTTTTTTGTTCTTTTCTTTCAGTGCTCACCTGTCTCTGAAGGTTGGACCCAGTGCTCACTGAGCAAAGAAGTGGGAGTCTTTCCAGGAGATAACTGGGCTTGGCGTTAGGTGTATGTGCTTTCCATCCATGATACTTCCTGGCCCTCTGGGCGACTGATTCACGTTCAGTGGCTCAGATGATATCCCTTGATGTTTTTACAAGGGCAGACGGCATGCAGCAGAGACATGTAACATGAAGGTGACAGGAGCATTGCATGCAAAGACCCAGGGCTGGAGGAACTGTTCGGTGCATGAATGCCTCGCTGCTGTGCTTTTCAAAATGTTTACACAAGGATCGTCATAAACCTCGCTGTATTGAACCAAAGATGCAGTCCAAGTTGTGTTAACCCAGGCCTTATCTGCAACATATCATCGTGATCAGATGCGTGGGGGAGAGAGAGAAAGGTAAAGCCGCTCCTTCTCTCCAGCCTTCTCTTAAAGCGGGGCGGGGATTGCTGGGGTGCTAGGTAATGATTTGTCATTTCAAGGGCTTGGGGTTGTCTCTCTCTCTGCAGATGAAACCTTGGCCGTGATTGACAGCAAGGCTGTTTCGGCCTTCTCTATTGCCGTTGACAGGTAATAATGAAGCTTTGTCAGTCCCTAATGGACATGGATATGCCCGACTATGTCGAGTCCCTGGACTCCTCTTACACCATGCTGGAGTTTGAAAACCTGAGAGTGCTTCCCAATAACACGGGTGAGATCTCTGTTCACTTCCTCCTAAATAACTGCTGTTACCCTTGGGAAAAAAAGTTGGACTCCTAGAAAAGATAGCTAGGACACAAGGGGCAAAGGGTGGACGGTGTAATATTGAAGCAGATGAAGTGTCAGTCTTTGTTGTGCCTGTCATTACGGTTAGGCACAAGCTCCATGTAATGGCTGAAATGCGTGGTACCTTTCTAAATGATTCGGTGCTCGACTGTGCAAGCCACGATACGAAGGCTGGGCCGTTCCTGCCCTGGAGAACACGCCGCCTCTTTTGAGCTATTTGTGGGGCTCCGTAATATTTCTTCTGTTTGCTTTCTTAAAAGCAATTCAACTACTTCATAAAAAGCTGCTGTATTCTCTCTATATGAATTAGACACAAATGTGTCGTGACTTTTGAGGGGAAAAAGACATAGTTTGAGTCATTTAGTTCTTAAAACGCTATTGCCTACATCGTTCTTCACACAATAAACCATGTGTTGGACGGAACGTATTCAAACATATTTACATGATGTAGCAAATACTAAACCTTGGGCTTGACTAGGAGCATTGCTGCTTATTTTTCACCTATTGAGCTTGACTGAACGTCTTTTCAAGACACAAAGAAGAGGATTGTTCTGTGTGTTTTTTCACCGAAAAGTCTGTGCCCTGTTCCAGGAAAGCAATTTAGTGAGACATTTGGGAGTGTGGCACTCAGGATTTTGTTTTCAGGCATTTTAGTAGTAGCCCGTCTTTCCAGCACACGAGTCAGTCATTGTCTCAAATGCAAAGCAAGGCAGCCATCGTAAATGCTGTAGCATAGGGCTAACATCACAAATAAATTGGATTAAAATGAAAACGTTGGAAACTGCCTGCTTGGATAGTCTAAGCAACATTTATTCTGAGCTGTCAAAAGTGTGTTTTTTTCTGTTTAAGATTGATTTCTCACTGCCTCTCTTACACTTGCTCATTAGTGCCCTGGACTATCAGTGCTTCAAAATATCTTTTGCTGCCATCTTCTGCCATTATGCAAAGCTTGTGCACCGCAGGGAGGCTTTCAGAGCATCAGACCAACGGAAATTCAGAAATGTAGCCTGGCCTCGAGAGAAGTTGTATGACTAGCCCTTGGAAGAGGATTTTCAAACGTCTGGGTTTTAATTTGGTTGTAATCCAAACGCGTCATATGGTTTGTCACATCCATTTGAATAACGAGGTAGACCTTTTTGGTTTTTTGTAAACCAGGCTACAGATTTCCCCCAAATCCAATAATTTCAACAGAAATGTTCCAATTTTTGCATGCCCTCACACAGTAGAAATGACAGGTTCAGTTTTTTGGGGTTTTTTTTTTTAAGTTTGTAGAGTTTATCTAGGTTAGCATTGGGCTATTTGTTTTATTGTTAATCAGTAACTGGCTCTCTCAGGAACCAGTTGTTTTGACATTAGCTTGTTTGTCTTGGGTAAGTCTCTTCTACAATTTGTAAAACGAGCTCTTAAAAAGAGACGTGAAAACGCCACGCGTGGAAATGTATCACGAGCCATCAGAATTCAAGCCACTCAGCTAGGCCACAGTTTTAGCAATATTTTTACGAAGTTGGGAAATAGAGAAATAAAGAGAAAAACAGGAGAAACAAACTTCTTTATTTCCCAACTTTAGATGGCATTTCTAAAGACATAGGATCCTAAATACACTGTGGAGAGATTTAGTTTGAACCTATTTTCTACGTTTCCCCATTTAAAAACAGGTAAATGTTGTCCTACATTCGAGTGGGAGCACTATCAGGACCTCACTACATATCCAACTCCATTAAGGCCTAGCTCTTGGATTTCAAACATCTGATTCTGAGCTTAAAAGATGCTCATCATCCTTGCCCTGGTAGACCTCCATTGACTTTAGAGAGAAGAGGGCGAGCCATATAATTTAGGAGTAACTCCACTAATTTGTATATTATTTCCTGTAATTGAATGACCGCAAATTTAAAATGGATCATTTATAGTTAACCTATGGCATTTATTAGCACAAGATATTTTTAAACCAATAGTTTTTTTTTCAAGTATTATTCAAGCATATTTAAAAATAATACTGTAGTTACCTTTATCTAAAAATAAAGCTAAGGGCTCTCCAATCTCATCAAATGATCATGAGCTGAAGACAGAAACCTAGTACCTTTCTGGAGTATAGGAATGCATTATATTCAGGTGGAGGACACATACTTACTAGTCACTCTGTGAGAGAGGGAATACCAGGCTAGCTTGAACATTAATCTCATCAGTGGGCCTTCGATAGAGGCCGTTAGTCTAATTGTTTCCTTAAGGTTTAAAATCATTATTGTTTTATCACTATAACTATGGCAGCTGTTGATAATAGGCTTTGTTCAGAGAAGATCAGTGCAGCTATCAGTTTTGCTGGGTTTAACTGTGTGCCAAATCCTCTAGCAATGTAAAATTTGCAAAGAATGTGAGACCTGGGTTTCTCCCCGAAATCGCTACTTATGTTAATTCATTTATGAAAGATGTATTGCAGTCAAGCAGCAAGTTAACTGGAGCTTGTTAACACATCAGTGCATAGTATGTACCATGAGAAAACACAAATAAAACTGAAAATGTTTTTTTTTAGTTAGAAATTTCATGTGGGTTTTATGAAAAGTGTTTTGTTTTTTTTTAATTTGGAATATTTTCAAGACAATTATTAACTTTTGTGGGACAAAATCCCATACTTCCTTTTCCTTTTCTTCCTTACAAAAAATATGGGGGGACAGAGAGGTAAAAAAATAGTGAAAGCTTTCCCCCACAGCAAAATAAAATGTGGGTTAAAAAAATGGGATCAACGTAATCAAAATGTTCTATGTATTGTCGTGTGAAACACCATTTTTCTCCGACTGGTTTTCATCAAACGTTTGACCAATTTGAAGGTTAACCTTTCTTTCTTTGCTATTATGATTAAAACACCAATATTGCTTAGGCAATCATTTTTAATCTTTTAATAGTCTGTGCATGAATAATGGGCAAATGCGGTTTAGGTAACTCAGAGAATAGTCCAAAACGCAAAGCAAGAAATCCATTTTGACAGTGGAAGTGGGCATTTAAAACGTTGTCGCATTTAGATGGAAATAATGGGAAATAAGGAATAATGGCTATGTTAATCTTCTTCACAAAACGAGTGTTCTGGTGGCAAAACTGTTCCCTCTTGGGACAATCGTATTTATTTTACCATGGATAGAATTACATCTTCATTCTTACATCATGTTTAATACTGGTGTCATCACCAATTGCATCAGAGTTATCCCTTTGCCAGCGAGAGTGCAAACAATATTCGCTTTAATAGCGTTATTCCTTTCTTCACTCTTCTGTTCAACCACCAATGTGACTCTGAAGAGTTCATCACGACTCTTTTTCAAATGTCACTCTTGGGCCAGATGCAAGTTGACCCTGGCTTAGTCCTAATTAAGGCCAAAGCAATAAGAGATGTTTTGCCAGTTAAGAGTGTGAATGTCTGAATATGCCACAAGTTATAAATTTGCTTGCAGGACACTTCACCCTTTCTGGCTGGAGAATGTGGAGTTTGAGAACAGTTATCTAACTTGTTCTTTGTTTTGGAGCAAAAGACTCGGGTTTTGGAACGCAGACAGCTGATGTATCATGCGATTGAATTGCATAGGACCAGACTTTCAAAATGGGGCCCACTCCACCCACAGTTTGGCAGTTGTAGATGTTTTTAGTTCTTGTGTTGTCTCAAGCTGAGATTCGTAAGTGCAAACCACAAAGCAGGTACCTGGGTAGAAATCCAGGGATGCAGTGTGGTGCGGTCGAGTTGTGGGGGCTGCAGAATTGGCAACCAGAATGCATGCACCCAGGACTGACTTTTGGCATTTAGTTTTGGAAGCATAAATTCAAAGGCAAGAATTGAAAATGCAAGTTGCTGCATCTGCAGAAATCTCTGTCACGAGTAGGGTGCAGATGAAACATTTTATCATCCCCTTAGAGCAGTTATGCCCAATCTTTTGGCTTCACGAGCCAGGTGAGTAGTGCGGGGCTGGTCCCTTGGCTGGATTGGCCCCTGTGCTGTCTATGCCCAGCTTTTGCACTCCCAGATTGGGCCCCATGTGCTGGGATCACACCCTGGGGCTCTGCACTGCTCCCACCCGAACCTGTGTGCTGGGATTGGGCCCTGCCCCACCACTGCCCAGCCCCGCACTCTGGGATGAGGCTCTGCATGCCAGGATCAGGCCCTGGGGCTTTGTACCACCTTTGTCCATCCCCACACACTGGGATCAGACCCTGTGCCATCTTGCATGGCTGAAGGGCCACACTCTCTGGCTCACAGGGCTCTCCATGGGTCTGGAAATTTGGCAGCAGGGGAGCAGCAATTAAGGCTCCCAGCATAAATTTTAGGACCTATGGAGAGCCCCAGATGGCACAGCACTGGGGGCTGCATCTGGTGTGTGTGCTGCAAGTTGAGCCCCTGCCTCAGAGTATCCGTCTCATTGCCAGAAGTGGATTTGACTCATCAAAATTAAATATGAATTGGATTCTGCATCCCAATCCATATAGTGGGATTCAGATCTGGGGTTTGAAAAGGGAGCCTGTTTTTTCCTACTGAATGTCTTACAGTAAATCCAGGACCTCATGCAAGGCCAGAGCCCTATTCTTGTAGGCACTGTCCAGAATGATAAATACCTCTGGTTTAAAGGAGAGAGTGGCGACATTCTTTGCAAGTCAATAGTCAAGCTGCAAATTGGCCCCAGGTATCAAAAGTCTTAACTACAAGACCAACCTTAATCTCATTTCTTCTCATTTCATTCATGTCTTCCTTGCACACGTTAGGACATCATCTTATATCAAGTCTCTAGTATATACTAAGGACCACATTGATCTAGAATTGAACTTCCCCAGGGTTTGACAGGCTTGTTTATATAATTTTATAGCCTGGAGGCTAGCTGTAAATGCCCAGATTGCACACTGATGAAGCAGCTCTGCTGAAACTCTTGCAAGTTATGGAGTCAGACATCAGAGATTTCTGGCAGACAATTTTGGCAATGATTATCTCTTAGTGATACACCCAGCGCGGAGAGACAGATGCTTGCACTGCAATGACCATTCTGCTCAGAAGCCGTCTAGGACTGAGATGACCTTTAGAGAGAGTGTCTAATTATTGATTTTTCTTTTAAAAAGTTCCATCAGGTGTTTCCTGCTACCAGAAATCCCATAGATATGTCACTGGAAAACTTTCTGAAACATTTCATTGAAAGATAATCCTTTGGCATTATGGAGCTGGGCAACTCTATCCATTACACATCATTGTGCTCCTGTGTTGGAAAAAGTAGGTGTCCTTCCAGAGCCTGTGTTTCCCTTTCTCTCTCAATAGAGGCCCTTCCAAAACAAAACCCCAAGCCAAAACATCACAAAGTGTTGTGCAAGGCTTGAAATTCAATTCCAGATCCAAACTTTGCATCTGGATTTTTATGGTTCACGTGCTCCTTTGTCTCACTCTTCCTCTGTTGGAGTCTGCCATTAATTTGGGATAGGAGTATAAAATAGTGATGGACTTGGCAGTATACAGCTGCTCAGCCAATGTGTCTACGTCAAACTACTATCAACTCGTGAAAAGGAAACGTCATTGTGCACTCTGGACTGGACTTTACTGTGCTCGGCACTCATCAAGTCTACTCTAATTTATAGCCGTACAACTTCACTGACCTCAGAGGTGTTTACATGGTTTTGTAGGTGTAAATGTGAGGAAGAAATTAGCCCCTTAACGTGAAAGCAATAATATCATATGATTCATAAGGTGCACTGAGGTTATTCACCCACAAGGAATGATGTCAGGGCATCATGGGAGACAAAGTCTGACCAGAAACAGGGTTCATGGAGGAGAATGGGGACATGAGGGCCCCAGAGCTACAGTTTTCTCAAGGCATTGCAAAAATTCAGGCAGGTCATGGGTTCAATGTTGGTACAAAACAAACCAATGCGTTTCATTTTGATTTTTTTGACTGGAAAATTCTACCGATGCCAAACTTTTCTTCCAACCAATTTTGATTTTCTTGAAGCCTCTTTCTCTGGTCAGAAAAGGTTTTATTCAACTTGATTGTCCAGAATGTGGTGCTGATAGCACCACTGAAAATGGATTCACTTCGCCTGGCGTGAGCACATGTGTTAGGTCAGAAAAGGGACATGTCTACGTGAGACGGTTACTGTGCATTGGCCTAATAACACTGCACTCAGTAGCTTGTCATGGCAAAAACTGTGCGAATAGCCCACTGCGTAATGTTATTAGGCTACTGCTCATTAAATGTTACTAAAAAACCGGGTGCTAGTGTTACTGCGCAGTAACTTTAGGTACTATGCATTTAGTTAGTGCTTTATTAAGGAAGCAGTAAACTAAATGCGCAGTATCTAAGGTGCATTAATGAACATGTAGACACGCCCAAGGTAACAGAATTGTTCCTGAAATGGCTGGAGCCAAAAGCTCGTGGGCCTTACTCAAGCAAAAGTCCTACCAAGTGAGGGTCATATTATGAACACTTTACTCACATTAGTGACAAGTGTAACCCTCATTGACCTCACTCACCAGAATGGTTTTATTAAGCTGGAACTAGGCTTTCATAGTCTGGTCTTGTGTTGGGTAGATGGCCTGAGGACAAACTGGGTTTCTTTGGAATAATGGATCTTTGAATTCTGTGCTGGTCATCTGGGCCCAGCTGTACTGGATTGAATGGGATTACATGGGTGTAACTGAGAAGAACTGGCCCCCTTTTATCTTTATGTTTATTGTGCAATTGAAAAAAAAATTGGAATCAAATGAACCCTGAGGAGTTGTTTATTATGGCCAGTCTGACCACTTGCTTGTTCAGAAAAGACTTGGATGAAGCCAGAAGATATTCAAAGATCGAGCTGATCCTGACAAAATACAGCACTCTGGAGATACCGTTTCCGTTTCATTCAGTTCCATTGTGCTGTCACCAATGGAAGGCTAGCAAGATCAATGTGAGCTTCAATGATTTGCCACATAAGAGTCTTATCTGCTAAGACATTGAGCATTTTTCCCAGGGCTGAGCACACAACATTCAGTAACCTTAATGAGATCTGGGGACCACCTCCACGTTGGGAGGTGGAGAATAGTAATTTCTGCCCATGTTGTCTACAAATTACTCACGTGCCATTTTGTTACCTTGTCGTTCTTATTCCTCAGTATGGCCTTCCCTCCCCCCCATCCATCTGTTAGAGGTTTTCATTTAGTTTATAAAATTTGTCAGTGCAGCAGTGATAAGCTTATGATGTTTGTACAGTATCATGGAGAACGGGGCCGTGCCCTTTTTGCCCACTGGATACCAACGCAATATAAATGTTAAATAAAGTTAGTTTGATCTACCGACAACTAAAGTCACTCTGAGTTGGTTCAGGGCCAGCGGCAGTGGTTAGATACCTATGTCAACTATCACAATTATGTGTTTTAGGATGTTTCTTAGACATTAATCTTTCCATATGTTAAATGTGCTTAAGACAGGAGCATCTTCATGTTAAGGCAGGAAAAAAATGATTCCTCACTTGAAGAGGTGTAAGTTTAATTTATTCCATGCAGATGTAGCTCTTTTTGACTGGTGCTCATCATGAGGTTAAATCAATTTGTTCCACAGGGCCAATATGAGCAATTTGTGCTCCTCCAGTATCCCAGGATGCACTGCTTCCAGCCTCTCCCCTCCCCCTCCCCGAGGACAATTTATCCTCCTAAACTCTGGATGAGACCTGGAGAGGCAGGCAGCCCTAGGAGAACTAGAGAGAGCTGGGAAGAGGTGAAGAGCCACAGGGCAAGCTGGGCAGCTGCCAGCCCCACCCTGATGACCAGCCCCCTCCACCTCTCCGGTTTCCCCCAGTTGCCCAGCTCCTTGGCTTTCCCTTGCTCTCCATCTATCCAGGGCAGTACAGAGAATACAGAGAGCGGGGGACGGGTCCAGTAACACTCACAGCACGTTCTAAATTTAATACCACCTAACATTCAGTGCACCAACATTACAATGTGTAACAACACCCTCGCATACAGGTGTGAGCTCCCTTGTAGGAAGAAATTTAGAAGCAATTTTCAACAAAATGGTCCTGAGATGCTTCTTTATTAGCATGCCGAGGTTATTTGAGTTGACAGGAGTGTATTTGTTGGAATAGGAGTGTAGGTTGTAGCCGTGTTGGTCTAAGGACACAGGCAGACAAGGTTCCTTGGGTGAATCTGATATCTTTTATTATTTTTGGGTTGGTCTAATAAAAGATATCAGATTCACCCAAGGAACCTTGTCTGTTGGAATAGGGAATGGAAGCATTGAATAGAAAACAAATCCAAGGAGGGTTGTGCTTAGTGTGACAGCCTTCAAATGGCCAAGCTTTCCATTCTCTGTCATGCAGAGATAGGCAGGCAAGGTTCTTAGAGTAGATGTGACATCTTTTATTGGAGCAGCTGAGTAGTTGGAAAACTGTTCTTAAAAAGTTCTTAGCAAGTTCTTTCCAAATAGTCAGTTTGAATAGATGTGATATCTTTTATTAGACCAAGAACCTTGCCTGCCCATGTCCTTAGACCAACGCGGCTACAACCAAAAACCCCATTTCACAGAGATAGCACAAGCAGGTTTGGAGGAAGGGCAGATGTGCAGCTGGAGACCAGATAGATAGAGCCCATGCCATCATGTTGTTCTGGCTCCTGGGGAAAGACCTAATTGAGTTTCTGCTCCATCTGCAGAACCGATAGCTGCAGAATCATCCAATGCCAGCCTGCTTGCCGGCAGCATCAGCTCCATTTGCTCCATCTGTGGGGACCGCGCCACCGGGAAGCATTATGGAGCCTCTAGCTGCGATGGCTGCAAAGGGTTCTTCAGAAGAAGTGTCCGCAAGAACCACGTCTACTCGTGCAGGTAAAGTGCTCTGCTCGGTTTCAGCACTGGGAGCAGGTTGGGGCAGGGATTGTCTATTATTTGGCGTACAGGGCCTCACACAATAGGACCTCAGTCTCAGCTTGGACCGATAATGATGATGATGGTGATGTAATCTACTTTCTTGAGCATAAGACTTGGAAACTAGGGACTTCTGAGTTCTAATTTCACCTGAGTCTTTGAGCAATCCCTTTCCTGGTTGCATGTCTCCGTGCCCTCACAATTAAAACAGAGGAAAGTTCTAGCATTGAGGACTTGTTTCCATATGTGAAGTGCTAAGTACTTTTACTGGGTGTGGAGTGACCCTAAGAACTCATCGAGTCCTCTCAAGGGAATGTCACAATGGCAAGGAGCCAAAGTCCCCAGGACTGATTTTCGAACACGGGCTCTCTTGCTTTGTCTAACCATTAATGGAAATGCAATCTGCAGGTATCTCCAAACCTGCTTCTCTCCCCCCAGCAGCTGTCTCTTTCTGCCTTTCTGGTCATGTTGGTTTTTAAGATGCACAAATCATACCTCTTGCTGCTATCAACTGCTTTACAGTCAGCCTGTGAACCAAAAAAGAACTGGCTCCGATGGTCTCCACCTTGACATGCAGGGATATATTCATGAGGCTTATTTACCAGAAGGAAGCGATAAATTATACAGCAGCTATCTCGGTTGACCTAAGAAAGATGATGTTTACTTAAAAAAAAACCCCAAAAACCAAAAAAACAACCCACACTAGAGGATTAATTCATATCTAACTGGAACCTGGGAGTTTTCCTTGTGCTGCAAGGGAGATTCCTTGTTCAAGAAGGTCCCAAAATAATAAAAGACGTGTCTCCCTGTCTGTTTTAGATGAAGTTGAATAGGAGGCACTAATAGCTCTGTTCTATTTGATCAATGGCTTGCCCTCGCCAGTCCAACCCCTTTCCTGGTTTAATTCCAGCGACCAAAGGGAAAATCTATTCTCACGTCTCAGAACAAGTTGCTCTCGTCCTCCGGGAGTTCGTGTGAAGCAGCCGTTTCATTGCGTGATCAATCCATGAATCACGGCAATGCTTAGCAGGTCAGGGAAGACCTTCTCATTCAAATCCAAACCTATGCCAAGAGCTCCATTGGCGCTCTGTGAATCCTAATTTGGTGAACCACGCCGCAGCGAGTTTAAGGTCTGGGCCGCACTGTTTATAATGGAGTTGCATTCCTTGCAGACTTCTTCACTTGTTAAGTGGGGTCTGTTCTGCTCGCTGAAACGACCGCAGAGAAAATGTCTATGCAGCACAGTCAGAGAGTATCATTAGACCGTAAAAGCTGAGGCAGATTCACCTTCCCTTCTTTTCCCCTTTAAAATCCACGTAGGGACCTAAATGTCAGCAAGAACCCGGCTCTAACTTTCTTAGACATGAATGGGAGAAAATATCCATCCGAAGAACTTCACTCGCCTCTACGCGAAGTAAAAGGGAGTTCCCAACAGAAGCAGGGGTGCTATCACTAGGATTTAACATCAGATATAAAGGAGAGGAAACAGACTGATTGCTGTTCCCTGTCTGTCCTCTTCTATACTCCCAGGTAGATGATGACATGCCAGTACATGAATTCAGGCCTCTGTTCACTTCTGAAAGACAGTGACTTGTGGAGGACGCATCAGTAGCGGTCTTGGAGGAGGGCAAACCGGGCGACCGCACAGGGTCCCGCACTATATAAAAATGAATTACACTGAATATTTGTATTGTCAATATTGTATTAAGACAATTTCATTGCAGTTTCCTGGATAGGGCAACGTGAAACTGAACTTGAAACTCTCTTTCTTATAGGTCATAGAAATTAAAGCGCCCCAAATGACACTCCTGCCCAGGGCTCCAACAACCCTAAGGCCACCACCGCACACATTAGCTTGTAAGGGAGGAGACCTGGCTTCTCCAACACTTAGGCAGGGTCACCCCACCGGTCAGTCTGTTTCCTCTCCTGTTTCTCTAAATGGGGTCTCCGTGTACAGTGCAATGAGCTTCTGGTCTGGTTTGGGCTTGTCAGGTAACGGAGGGATCCCGAGAGCCTTTATAATCTCAAAGTCGGTCCTGTCTCCTTTCAGGTTCAGCCGGCAGTGTGTGATCGATAAAGATAAGAGGAATCAGTGCAGGTACTGCAGACTGAAGAAGTGTTTCAGGGCAGGGATGAAGAAAGAAGGTAGGTGGTAAAAGAGGATGCATCTTTTGCACGTAGCTTGGAAAGCACAACCTCTCAGCCGGTTCCACAATCCCGCTGCGGGAAACTCGACTGCACACTTTTGTGGCAGTGGGGGACTGCGATCACGCTTCCCCCATGGCTTGCTCCCCAAGTCCACAGCTGGCATCCTCTGTGTAAGCCCCAAGTCTGGAGGGGTTTGGATGTTCTCTGTCTCGCTTGATCTTAGCCAAAAGCATGAGGAGCATCTGAAGCCCAACACTGAGCAGTCTGGGAGGGAGGCTAGTTGCCTGGTGGCAGAGCCGCACACACAGACTTGAATGATTGAGCTCTGCTCGGTCTATATTAAAACAAAGTCCAATAGTCAAGTTCCAAATTTTATTTCAAGGGCCAAATCAGTTCCAAATTTTATTGGGCAATATCACTGAGGGCGCATCTGGGGACATTCGGTTCCCTGGGAACAATTAGCAGCGGTGCACCTTGATGTCCCTGGGGAACGCCTGCGCCATGCTCACTCTGGCATGCGGCAGGTTACCCGGATGGGGTAGGGGAGGCTGGGGCTAGCACAGTTGCTGGCCTCAGCAGCCTTACCTGGGATCCTGGGAAGCTGCAGCCTCATCGCTTCTGCAGCTCGGAGCCTGGCTGGCAGCTGCAGTGTGTCTCCAGCCAGCCAGGCTCCAGTTCTGGGTGGTGCATGCTGTCCCAATGTGTGTTGTCCTGCTTGTTTTTTTGCACGGGTTTTTTTGACCCTGGGTCAAAAAACCCCCCCACGTTGCCAGGTAGCAGTATGGGAAATGCCTGAATGTGTGATAGGTGGCAGCACTACATACCACACGGCCGCGCTCGTCTGGACGTGGCCTTTGCATCTATTTGGAGAGGTCCATTTAACTCCATTTCCATCTCTCAAATGTTAGCTGATGCTCTTTGACACATTTCCTGTTGGTTCCTATGGGAAGGTATTCTGGAATACCTAAACACCTCTTGTCAGGGAAGTAAGTCCCTTGTTCCAAGTTGCTATCTGAGATGGAATAGTTTCAGTTAGGAGGTTGCTGGCAACACCACCGCTCTCAGTAACGCCATGAAAACTGTGCTTTGCTCTTTGCCGATGAGGAAGAATTTATCAGGTGCCAGAGATAACACAGCAATCTTTTGCAGCTGAGGATGATTTTCTTCCATGATTGCCTTATCTGTGGGTCTGATGAATTATTACCAGTTTGATGGGATATAGGGAGTTAATGGACTTGGACGGGATGCTCGGTTTGTACAGTACCTTGTACAGTCGGATTCTTGGCCAAGCTTGCGGTGCCGAAGAGTTACAGCAATAGAAACAGGACGCAAAAGTACCGCAGACTTCATTCCTTGCCTTCGATGGTATCTCGTTGCATAATGTCTGTTTGAAGAAAAAAGATGCTTTTGTGGTTTATAAAGCAAACAAGCAAGTACACTCCTTTGTCCCACTTATGTGTTGCGCCCTTGGAAGATTAAAGAGCTTTTTAATGTAATAGCTGATCAGGGGGATGGTAAAACAGTCCCAGATTGTTGAAATGAACAGATCCAAATATTTTTAAAAACTTAGAAAATGCTGGAGGATTAGATCAGCCCCTACACTCCTGCCCCTTCAGATGGCAGGGCAAAGGAGCTGGTTTTCTGAGCAACTCAGCAGTAAGGATGGCAATTTTCTGCCAGACCCTCCCAGCAAGCTAGATATAGTTAACAGCAGCTTTGCCACTGCTTTAGCTAATGCTATACACTAACCCTGGGGGATCAGGGAACCAGGAAGATGGTGTAAAATAGGGGTAGGTCAAATGCGGCCCACGGGTTGCATGCGGCCTGCCAGGTCATTCGATCCAGCCCACGGGGCCCCTAAAAAGTTTAGAGAATTAATATTTATCTACCCCTGGCTGCCTGTCATGCAGCCCTAAATGGCTTGCCAAAGCTCAGTAAGTGGCCCTCTGCCCAAAATAACTGCCCGCCCCTGGTGTAAAATCATCTTTGCCCTGTTGGAAACCCATCAGGCCTGAGCTGGTTACAGTTCAACCAGGGCCAGGGGTCAAGAGGACAAAATTTTGGTTGCTTTCACTCTCACTTTGACTGGATTTTCTATCTGTCCGTAGTGCAGTGGTGCTCAACCTTTGGCCCCCACGGCCTGGATGAGCCATGGGCTGGATCCCAAGCCCTGCACAGCTGGATTGGGTCCTGTATGGCCAATCCTACATGCAGGGCCAAGTTATCCAGCCTGTGGGGCTCCCCATGGGTCTAGACATTTAGCAGCAAGGAAGCAGCAGTTAATGATGCCACAATCCCCTGCAGCCAAGGTTTCAGACCCCTGGGGAGCCCGGTGGGCTGGATGACACCTCCATGGGCTGGTGTTGGCTCATGGGTCAGGGGTTGAGCACCCCCGAATTAATGTGTTCAGCTGGGAGCTAATGGCACAAGCCAGCACCCCCAGAAATCTGGAGTGAATAATCTACAGAGCTAAAAACCAGTGGGGTAATAATGACTCCATGATAAACTCCATAATGAGTTTATACCAATTTGGCACAGGAATAAATTTGTGATAGGAAGCAGCAAAAATATCAACCGGTTTCTTTCGAGAAAAGTAAATACAAAAATTAGGGGAAAAAAAATGTTAGCCTATCCGGGATGAGGCCGTTACTAAATCAGGTATGTTTAAGCAACCTCGAAATATGGAGCTCTATTTGAGCAGCAATTTGACTTGATCTGAAACCTCATTTTTTTATAGGTTTACCAGTAAAGGTTGTAAAACATTGGCTCGCTCCTTCAATATCGATTGCAGCTAGACGGGCAGATGACTCATTGCGAGTTCCACCTAGGCAAAGCCTTTGAAGCTCCATTTATGAGTGCAAAGCCCGTGGCTGATGTTGCAAACAACTAATGCTTCTTCTACGAAATATTTTAAACACCTTGTGCAGTGTCTTAACTGAAATTGCTTCACTTTCAACAGCTTCACATGCAAAAAAACCATGTGCCTAACTATATGCGCAGCATCTTCTTGAACAGTTGCCTGCACGAACATTAAAATCCAGTTTTTAGCTCTGAATGATATATTCAACTGCAGGCATGGGCAGATGAAATGGTTAGGCTGGGTTAAGAGTGGGGAGGATTATCGTAGCATAGGCAAATCTTGTGCAACTGTCCTTGGCTTCACTCTTAATTTCTAGCAAATGAGACTAAACCACAGTAATTTGGCCCTGAAGGAAATTGTTTCTTCTGGCCACTTCTAGCTAATAATAAGTGGACAGATGAAACAGTGATAGAGCATAACCTGAGGCACGTCCCCTGAGTTGTGAGATCTATCCTTTAGCATGGTGTCATTGTACATCTGTCCAGGCCTGACATGAAACAACTTACCAGAAGACAAACTTTTCTAATGCTAATAGCTACAATGAAAATATTTGGGCGTTATTCCTTGGCCTCATGCATCTATGACCAGAGACCGTATCATCACGACACGGACAGTTGGTTCTAATTGTCTTAGTATAAACACGAAGTAATGTTGGCGCCGGTGTCTTTACTCTGTTCTTCGCCGGCCTATTTATAATAGCAATCAGATTGTTCAGGGTGTGGCAATAACAGTGTCTGCCCACATTGCACGGCAGAGATCGGAAGCCATTCATTCTTCAGGCTTGTGCTTCAAACCACATTTTGGGTGTGATGGCATGTGACAGTATCTCTATCACCGCAGCCTGTGATCACTGCCACCGCACCCTGGTGTGCGACCCACGGCTGCAATGTGGTGAGGTGCAATTTTGGGAAACATTCTGTTCCCGACGTGTTCACTTCTTAGCTAAGCAAAAACATGAGTTGGGATGTTGAGCTGGGGCGTATTTTCCAAGCTCTCTTTGTCAGCTGCAATGTGATTTTCCGTAAGAAAAAGCTAGTGGGATTTAGGGATGTTATTATCCAAACTGGAATATGTCCGTATACTTAGGGTGCTTGACTAGCAAGAAACTTATGGCTTCAAACTTATGCTCCCCAGAGACTCAGGTCATGGTGTGCGGTGCCAGACATGTCCTGGAGAAGTGAATGCTGTGTAATTTAGAGAGAGGCAAAGATTTCTTAGGGGGATATCTTTTATTGGACCAACTATGTAGTTGGCCTAAGTTAGACAAGTTTTTGAGTGCAAGACATTTTTTTTGGTCAGGTCTCTGGTCACAGCGTAGTGGAAAACGGCAGAGGGGAGTGAGACACACATAATTAGCAGAAGAAAAGAAGCTGGTTCCTGGGAGATGGAGGTCTATCAAAGGGGAGGAGGGTCATTCGCACCTTGCCTGTGTCAAAAGAATTCAGGATTTGGGGAAAATACGAGGTGCCATAAACTCAAGACCAGTGTTTAGTCCTTGGTTCTCAGTGTCCAGCCAGCTTATGAATTGTTGTTCCTAAGTTTGTCTTTTAAAGGTATTTGGTAGATTCCCCATTGAGCGCAAGGCCAGTGAGGTCGGAGAGGGAGTGGTTGTTCTGTGGGAAGTGGGCTCCTGTCGATGTGTGTACATCTCCATCCTCAGCCTGACGAAGGGCGTTTGTAACCGAAAGCTTGCAAAGAAGAATTTTCCCAACTATTCAGCGGGTCTAAAAGAGATCAGATTTAGACAAAAAATCTTGTCTGCCTGTCTCCTTTCTTCATATTTTTTTTCTCAGAGAGTTCCTTCTGGCATATAGCTGCTGTGTCATTTCACCCACGCAATTGCCACTTGGTGCTTTGGATCCGGTATATCCTGTTTTGGGAAAGGTGCATGTAGAAACCACGGATTCTGGTGCAATTCACATCCAAGCTAACTTTAAACTAGCTATCTCGGGTACCGGTAGTCTAATCCGACAGCATAGGGCTCAGCATAGGGTCATTTACAGGTAGAGGGGGGCTTCTGGGGCTCCGGTGTAGACGCATGCTGAGCCAGACTCAATGCTATCACTTATAATTGATTTGGGGTCCAT